AGAAACATTTACACCACTTGGGAAACTAAACACAACTCTCTGGGCTGACTCTCCTGGCCATTTGCAGGAAATAAAGATTCTGGTGCACATTTACAGCAGTTGGGAGTTCCTTCCAGATTGCTGGCTAAGCCCCAGGTCTGGGAATCGCATTTCATCCCCTGGGCATTCTCCCTAGTATCCAGGATGCTTTTGCATTCCCTGTTGTGTCAACTTCTACTGCATCCCAGGCTAGTGCTGTGAGAAGAGATCCCTTTATATTCCTGATGCCCAGTAGTTACTGGGAAACATGGAGATCCAGGGCCTGGACCTCATCTTCAGGGACTGAAGGAGAAGGGTATATAGGTAATTGGGTCACAAATGCCTGATGCAGCATGAGGAAGCTAGAGTTTGGAACGTCACCCATATTCTGGGTATTGACTGTAGTTGTGCCCAAATGGAAGGCTTGGGGAATTTTTGGCACAGACAAGTGATATTTGGGGTCTCGGTATTTCTCTGAAGATTATACAAAGGATTCCACTACATGAAGTTGTGTTTTTCATTTCATATCAACAGGAAAGGCTCATAGCTTGAGGCCAGGCATGAAGATGCAACTAGGAGACCTGAACTGGCAGGACCTCGGGTGGAGGAGAAGTAATGAGCTGGGCTAATCTAGTCATCCCTGTTTGTGTGCTGACTGGGTTCCTCCTTTTCCACTTCTCAGGGTCCCTGCTGTGTGTGATTTCTCTGTCTGTGGTGGTTTCTCCTGCCTACTACTAGAGCTGTGTGAGCCTCTTCCTAATCCACTTAGGAACTAGGCCAGAAGACATGGAAAGGGAAGGGGGAATCTTGGACCTATTGAGGGGAAGGAGTGCCAGCCTGAGTCTTCCTCTCCTGGTTCCTTAAGGGGCTGAGTGGTACTGACAATCTTATCCCCTCGATGCATATGCTCTGTGCCTTCCAGGACCCCCAGGACATAAAGAGATTTGCGGGTTTGGATTGAAATCGTCTGAGGAAAAATGGGTACATACCTTTCGTAACTTGTTCTTTGAGATGCGTTGCTCATGTGCATTCCATGCTAGGTATATGTGTGTCCATGTGCACAGCTGCCAGTAATTTTTCCCTTAGTGGTAGCCGTAGGGCCAGCTATGGCACCCTCTGGAGCCCCGCAGCCATGTGCCAGTATATGGGGTGCCACTGGCCCCATGCCCTCTCAGTTCTTTTTTGCCGTCAGCTCTGATAGTGGGGACGGAGGGCAGGTCATGGAATGGACATGAGCAACCCATCTTGAAGAACAACAGTTACGAAAGGTAAGTAACCATTTTTTCTTCGAGTGCTTGCTCATGTTGCTTCCACGTTAGGTGACTCAGAAGCTGTATCCCTGGAGGTGGGCTCAGAGTTCATGGTCGTGCAACTTGCAACATTGCTTTGCTATAGCTGGCATTGTCCTGGGCCTGGTGGGTGATGGTGTAGTGGGATGTGAAGGTATGAATCCAAGACCAGGTGGAAGCTCTGCAGATATCTTGAATTGGTACTTGTGTGAGGAAGGTCACTGAAGAAGTCTGCGCTCTGGTGGAATGGGCAGTCACAATAGCCAGATTTGTTTGTAGCAGAACTTGATGCAGGCTGATATCCATGAGGAGATCTGTGACAGGATCCCTGGGGTGCAGCCTGGGAATGTGGGACTGCTGTGCCCCCTGAACTCTCTCCAGCCTTGGCTGTCTCTCACAATGCCTTGCTAGTGACCAGCAGCAAACCGCTCCAGGAGCTGTTATCACTCAGCACAACCACATGTGGAGCCCCACACCCAGCTAGATTGCATGAATGCTCCCAGAGTCACTCATGAATCACACAGAGAAAGACACCAGAGCCAGATCCCCCCAGCTCCCAACACTGTGCCTCAGGAAAATACCGTCTTGCAAATTTATTAATTGGTTCACCACTTCATCAATGGAAAATGGATATACACCAGCCTTTGCAAACCTGAGCAGTTTTGCCACACACGTCAAGCAAATTCACTGGTAAAGATAAACAGTTAAACAAATGTATTGACTACAAAAGATAGATTTTAAGTGATTATAAGTGATAGGCAAAAAGTCAGAGTTAGTTACCAAAATAAAATAAAATAAATATAAGCACGCAGTCTAAACTCTGAACCCTATTAGACTGGGCAACATCTAGATTAAATAGTTTTTCTCACCCCACTGGATATTGCAGTTCATAGTATATAGATTTCATCCTTGAAATCTGGGCTAATCTCCTCTGTTGGAGTCTTAAATCTTCTCAATGCCCTTGTTGCTTGCATCATAGGTGTGGGCAGGAGAAAGACCATGGGGCCCCTGTTTTCTGTTTTATACCATCAGTCCCATGTGCTTGGAGAACACAAGTACAAGCATATCTGGTGGGCATTGCTCAGTCCCCAGGCAAGGTTGAGCAATTCCCCTGGTGTGGCCTCATGCAAGAGAGTCATTGAATTGTAGCTCCTTTGCTGGACAATAGCTGTTGGTGTTTGTTTGACACCCGGCCTGGGCATTGGTTACTTTCCTTGCTGTTGTTTCTGAGGAGCTAATATTTGACTGATTCTCCAACTTACCTCATATTTTAGTGACAACCATACAACACAATCTCATAACTTCATATGCACTAAAGATATACATATGTAGGTAGAACAGTGACTTTCAGCTGATCATAACCTTTTCCCTGTTACCTCACACGGCCTGCTTTATATGCAAGATCATAATTCTATACATATGAGGAATATGGGGGTTAAAAGACACTCCCCCAAGGTACAGAATGTTACAAGATCCTCTGAGAGGAAACCAGCAGACCTTTCATCCTGTCTGCCACTGCAACAAAGAGCTAAGTCAACTTAGGTAGGGTTTAGTCCTCTCACTGTAGAGCACTAAGGCCCATCTAACATCTAAAGAGTGCAGCCTGCACTCCTCGTTAGACCTGTGGGGCTTTGGAAGGAAGACCAGGAGGAAGATGTCCTAATTATAATGGAACTGCGACACCACCTTTGGTAGGAAGGCTGGATGGAGGCATGGCTGGACCTTATCCTTATAGAAAATTATGTAAGCATCAATGCTTTGATCTCGGAGACCCGTCGGGCCAAAGTGATCACTATCAAGAAGGCGACCTTCCATGAGAGGAGAAGCGGGGAACAGGATGCCAGTGTCTCAAAGGGGAGCTGATAGAGAACCAGATTTAAGTCTCACGGAGGGATCGGGTTTCAGACCTGAGGGTAGAGCCTCTCCAAGCCTGAGCGTCATTTCATCAGAGAAGACTGATCTGCCTTGACTCAGAGGATGAAGGGCTGAGATAGCTGCCAAATGCACCTTAATTGATGAAATGGCCAAGCTTTGGAGTTTGAGGTAAAGCAGGTAGTCCAAGATGGACTGAAGCAAGGACCTAGAGGGGGAAACCCCTTAGCCTGAGGCCCAAAAGGTAAAGCATTTCCACTTGGCCAGATAGGTCATCCTGGTGGAGGGCTTCCTGCTACCAAGCATGATGTGATGGACTTGTGCCAAGCAGGCCTGTTCCTCAGCATTCAGCCACTTAGAAGCTACACTATGATATGATGTGATATGAAGTGATGCTAGGTTCGGGTGGAGCAGATGGCCCTGGTTCTGCGAGAATAAGTCCAGCCAGTGCGGGAGTAATTGCAGCGGGGTGCTACGGAGAGATCCACAAGCTTGCCAAACCAATGCTGCCACCATGGTGATTTTTACATTGTCTGTTTTGACGTTCAAGAGGACCTTGTGCACCAGGGGTATCAGTGGGAAAGCATATAGACGTGTTCCCATCCATGGGAGTAGGAAGGCGTCAGACAGGGAGCCTCTGGCAAATCTGTGAATTGAGCAAAATTGCTGACACTTCCTGTTCAGTCTGGACACAAACAGGTCCACCTGGGAAGTCCCCCACCTTTGGAAGATCATGTTGACCACCTCTGGGTGGAGTGACCATTTGTGGTGAGATCAGAAGGACCTGCTGAAGAGATCCACCAGCAAATTCTGAGCTCCCAGGAGGTGAAATGCCTCTATCTGAATCACATGCCACACACAGATGTCCCACAACCTGAGACCCTCTTGGCACAGGATAGATGATTGGACTCCACTCTGCTTGTTGATATAAAACATGGTGGTGGTCCATCAAGATTTGCACTGTTGAGCCCTTTAAGTAAGGAAGGGATGCTTGGCAGGCTAGATGTATTGCCCTGAGCGCTCTGAAACATAAGCACTTTTATCAGAGGCCTGATATGAGACTTGAGGCCTGAACTAAAGTAGTGGTCAAAACTTGCTAATATAAAGCAAAGTTAAGTTGTGAGCAAGAGGCGGGCCCTGCTCACATAATCTGGCAAGAACAGGGCTAATATTGCAGAAACACACATTCTTAAGTAGTGCTAGGCATAAGAATATATAAGCAAACACATTCCAGAAAGGTGGTACCAAAACACCTCAATATTAAACACATTCCCCAAAGATAACAGGAACACAATGACCCATCATAAAGATAAGGTCAGGGTGACAACATGATGGATAGAGATATTTTGATCGAACCAACATGTACAAAGCAATGGGTGGCACCCGAATACATCAGAGGATGACACCCAAATACATCAGAGGGTGGCACCTAGATATGTCAGAGATGCTATACGTAACTTGTTTGTATCAGTGTATAAAGATGTATCTTAGAGAGAGTGTCTTTGGCTGTCTGAGGGGAGAATGGAAAGTCTCACCATTAACTGAGCTAGTCCATTGCAATGGGCATACATGTGTTAGTGATCCTGTAACCATTGAGTCAGGACATTAGGACCGTCCTTTGTTGACAATAAATCTGACCAGGTTCCTTCGCTATGAACCAAATCTGTGGATTTAATGGGCAGTTTAATTGAGGTCTGCTATCTCCGCTATTTGCGCAGAGCTGGGACAGCACACTAAATGAACACACATGCAGTCATCATCTGACCACATGAACTCTATTCTCTGAACTGGGGTCAGAATAGATTTCTGTTTGTTTATCAGCAGGCCCAGCTCTTGACATGTGGCTCGGACTGTCAAGGATGTGTTGGACTTGGGCTTGAGACCTGGCCCTGATAAGCTTCTTGTCGAGGTAAGGATAGATTGGGACACCTCATTGTCTCAGGTAAGCTGCTACCACTGCCATCTACTTTGTGAATACTCTCAGAGCTACTGAGAGGCTGAAGGGTAGGGCTGTGAACTGATAATGGCTCTGGCCTACTATAAATTGGAGGAATCTCCTGTGTCTGCAGAAAATGGAAATATGGAAGTAGGCGTCTTTCAAGTCAAGGGCGGCATACCAGTCTCTTGGATCCAGAGAGGGGATAATGGAGGCCAGAGAGACCATGCGGAACTTAAACTTTTTGAAATACTTGTTGAGGCAACACAGGTCTAAGATGGACACGAGTCCATCGTCCTTCGGCCTTCGATATTAAGAAATATTGGGAGTAGAACCCCTTTCCTTTTAGCTCTAGACTCGGGGTGGGGAACCTCTTGTCCACGGGCTGGATCTGTCCCACTGCTTAATTTAATCCAGCCCATAGCAAGTATCTGCGCGGCGGGCTGGAAGCGCCGAGCTTCAGCGCTGCCCCTCCTCCCGCCGCAGCTCCCAGGCAGAGGGGCAATCAGGGAAGCTCCACATGCTGCCCCTGCCCCCAGCACCAGCTCCTCAGCTCTGATTGGCTGGGAACTGCGCCAATTGGAGCGGTGGAGGCAGTGCCTGCAGGCACGGGCAGCACGCACCATGCAGAGCCCCTTGGCCTCCACTCTGCCTAGGGGCCAGACATGCCGGCAGCTTATGGGAGCAGCGTGGAGCCAGGGCAGGCAGGGAGCCTGCCTTAGCCCCATTGCGCCGCTGATGGGGAGCCACCTAAGGTAAGCGCCACCTGGCCAGAGTCCGCACCCCGAACCCCCTGCCCCAGGTCGGAACCCCATGCCGCACCCTGTCTCCCTCCCAGACCCTGAACCCCTACCTGCACCCTAACCCCCAGCCCGGAGCCCCCTCATGCAGCCAAACTCCCTCCCAGAGCCCACACCCCTACCCACACCTGAACCCCCTGCCCCAGTTCTAACCCCCTACACCCTAACTCCCTCCCAGAGCCCTCTCCCCCTCCCACACCCCAACTCCCTGCCCCAGTTTGAACCCCCCCACACCCTAAATCCCTCCAAGACCCTGCACCCCCCCTCACCCCAACCCTCTGCCCCAGCCCTGAGCCCCCTCCTGTACCCCAAACTCATCCCCAACCTCACCCCTGATCCTGCACCTCCAGCCAGAATCCTCACCCCCACCCCCTGCTACAGCCCAGATCCCACTCTGCACCCTGAACCCCTCATTTCTAGCCCCATCCCAGAGCCTAGGGGAAGCCCCAAGCCTCCGCACCCCTGCCCTCAAGGCTGTGTGTGGCCCGTGACTGATTTTTTCTGTGGGTCAATGGCCCCTGATAGAAAAAAGGTTCCCACCCCTGCTCTAGAGGGACTTCCTCCACTGCCCCCACTTGTAGGAGAGACTCCCCATCCTGGGTGAAGAGCTGCTAATGAGAAAGGTCTCTGAAGAGGGATGGGGGAGAACTGCTATGGTGTTGAGCACCCAGTGGTCCGAGGTAATTCAGGCCCATGCAGTGTGGAACGGGGACAACCAATCCAAAAATAAAAGGGGGACTGGATCGTGGGGCAAGTCTGGTGTGTCATCCTCAGGTGCATCCTCAAAATGTCTGCCATGGGCCACCCAAGTGGTGAGCAGGACCTGACTGCGGGGATGAGGAGGATGGGGCAAATTGGCGGTATTTAAAGCCTCAATCTTTCCTCCTATAGGGCTCTGCCGAGGCGGACCCGATTATCTGGGCAGCAGTGGAGGTGGCCGGAAATGTCTCCTTGAGGCTGGAGGTGTGTACAGCCTGCAGTCCCTGCAGCCTGGTCTCCCTTTGCTGTGAAAACAGAATGTTGCCCTTAAGGGGAGGTCCTGGTGGACAGCTGAACCTGGTGCAAGAGCCCTGAGGACTGGAGCCACGAACTGTGCCGCATGGAGATGGCCGATGCCATCGACTGAGTTGCAGAATCAGCTGTGTCCAACGTCGCTTGCAGAGAGGCCCTGGCCACTGCCTTGCCCTCTTCCAAGATGGCCAAGAATTCCTGCCTTGACTCATGGGGCAGAGAGTCCTTGAACTTGGCCATTGAGTCCCAAGTATCATCTCAGCAATGCTTGCTGGTTGGCGATACGTAACAGCAGGCTGGCAGTAGAATACACTTTTCTACCAAAAAGGTTGAGTTTCTCAGTGTCTTTATTTTTAGGGGTTGTGCTAGATTGCCCCTTTCTGTCCCGTTTCTTGGAGGCAGAGACCATCAGTGACCCAGGGGGAGAGTACATGTACTCAAAACCTTGGGCCGAGACACAGTACTTTTTCTCTGCCCTTTTTGATGTTGGGGCAGAGAAGATGGCATTTGCCACAGTGCTTTAGTGAGTTTCCGAACCCTGTCATGCACTGGTAGGGCCACCTTGGAGGGAGCCTCCGCAGTTAGAATATCAAAATGGCTATCAGTCAGATCCTTGAGCGCCTCAATATCTAGCCCTAGGTTGGAGGCCACTCACTTGAGGAGTTCTTGATGGGCTTGAAAATAGTCAGGTGATAGTAAGGTAGTGGGCCCAGCCACTGCTTCATCGTGTTACCTGCTCAATTTAAGGACACCCCGCCTATACCCTACCAAGGGCTCAAGGTGTGACCCAATCAAATTAGGCACACACACCCTTTCCCTTCCAAGGGCTCAGGCTGTAAGGCACCTATCCTTACCCACGGGGCTCAGGAAGAAACCTGGTCAATTTAAGTACCTGCCCTTTCTCTAGGGGCTCAGGGCTCTACGGGTCTGCGGAACCTTTTCCCAGCAAACGAGTTGTGCTCTAAACATCTATTTATTAACAACACATACAGAATACATATACCAAGCAAATCTCTTATGCTCACCACTCCCAATATACACACAAATTTCACCCAATGGTCAGTCACCCATGCGGGTTCGTCATGGTCGTGCAGAGGGATCAGAGTTCTAGCAGCTTGATGTTGCACTGCAATCCAGAAATGGTTCCCAAAGAGCATTGTTTTTCATTTAGATTATATAGCTAAAACTAGCTACCTCCTTCAAATTTACTAAATCTATCACATTATCCCATATTCCTAAATAGCAAAATTTTTAACCAATTACGGACTGGCACCTATGTGTCCTCCTTCCTGCCCAAGTTTTTTACATTTTATCTTTCATGCCCAAATTGTAACTTAGTTGTGACCTTCTCTATTTGTCTAGATGATCAACATAAAACGTTGGTCAGAGCTTATTTTACCATTTGTTGAGTCTCTTTCTGTATCCTCCATAATTTCCCCAGTGTCTTTACAACCTGGGTGGTTATAACTCTCTGAGGTGGTGATTTATCAGCAGCAGAACATTCCTTTTTTCAGTTTTAGTGGTGAACTCCCTGAGTTTCACCCAAGGCTGGTTTAATATGCAGGGGGGGCGGGGTAAGGGGATGGGAAAGGGAGGGTGATCAGGTCTCAGGCCTACAATTGGGAGAAGAGGGGGAGGAGGCTACCTCAGACATTGCAGCTGGTTCTCCCAGCACCACTGGTGCTGACTGCACTGAGGTCACCGGGGTTTTGGTACTGGGGTCCAGTTCTGAGTTGATCTCCGGTGATGGCCGTGTCAAAGCCAGGGCCCGCCAATGGTGATTGGCACTGTATCAGAGACCAAGTAAGCAGCCTCACTGAGGGTTTCCCTTTAGAGGGGACTTCCCTCAAGGACTCTCCCTGAGTCTGGCCCTGCCCTGGAAGTGTGGGCAGCATGGGGAGAGACATCACGTCCCTTGCAGGTTGAAAGGCCTCTCATGTCGAAGGGGCCAGGAGATGCAATGGGCCGTGACTGCTCCCAGAAGTCAATGGCAGGTCCTGGACTGGGCTCGGCACCCTAGGCAGCATCTCTGCCACCAATCATGGTTCTGGGGATGACGAGCAGCCTGGCACGGGTCTCGGCTTGTTCTGGGACTCCCATGTAGCTGTCTGCGGTATCGGAGAGCACCCCCATCCAACCGCAACTTCTTGTGCCTCTTCTTGGGCGTGGGTGAAGGGGCGTGGCACCAAAGGGCCTGGTGCTGGTGGAGGACTCCGCACCGAGGCTCGTGTACTCAGTGCCGGGTCGGAGTGGCATGGTTCTGACACAGGGTGTAGGGCAGGGATCGGCAACCTTTGGCACTGGGATGGTGAACTGTGGCCAGTGGGAGCCGCGATCGGCTGAGCCTGCGGACGCAGCAGGTAAACAAACCGGTTCGGCCCGCCACGGGGCTTACCCTGGCGAGCCACGTATCAAAGGTTGCCGATCCCTGGTGTAGGGTAACCCCCATTAGCAGGGCTTTCAGTCTAATGTCCCTGTCCTTGAGAATGCATGGTCTGAAACTTTTACAGATCCTGCACTTCTCTTTAACGTGCCTCCTCAAGGCACTTAAGACATCTCTTGTGTGGGTTACTAACAGGCATAGCCATACACAGCTTAAATCCAGGGACCGGGGCATGCCCCATCCCTAGGGCAATGTTCCCGATGGGACTCTAAGTAACTAATTATTCACTACTTTAACTATTTACAAGAAAAAAATCAGAGAATTCAAGAACAGTGAACCACTAGGGAACTTGGGAGAGCAAGGTAAGAAGGAACTGAGAAGGACCAGGGCCGGCGGCGTCCCATATGTAAGGGGACTGTTGGCCCCTTACTAAAACTCAATGGGGGTTTTTGGTCGGCTAGCTCCCAGTACCAGAAGGAAGGGGAAAGGTAGATAGTAAATCAGGACCCTGAGGCTGACAGTCCCCAGGAACAATGGGGAGAGTCCATTGCTCCAGGTCAGCCTGATTGACAGGGTGTGGGCAGGCTAATGAATGAGTCAGGAGGCCAAAGTGGGTTCCATCCTCCGTGTGAGCTGGAATTGCCTGGGACAAAGTGGGGCCGAGCTAAGGAGAGTGAAGGGACCCAAGCTGAGCTGGGGAGCAGAGCTGTGCCAACCAGAGAAGCAGAAAAGCATCCCAAGGAACAGGTCAGTGCTGGAAGCAGAGCTGCAACAACAAAAGCCAGAGAAGCAACCCAGGGAGCAGGATGGTGCTGGGAGGAGAGCCACAGAAGCAGCTCAGAGAGCAGACCTGTGCTGGGAGGAGAACTGCAGCAATCAGAGCCAGAGGGGCCAGAAAAAGCAGCCCAGGGAGCTGGAGGTAGAGCAGCAGCAGCAGTGTTGAGGCAGAGTGGAGCTGGAGGTGGGGCTAGAGCAGTCCAGAACTGGGTGCGGTGAGCAGCTGAGGAGAGTGAGGGGGACCCTAGGCAGCAGACCCAGCGCAGAGAGACGCCTCCAGCCAAGAGGCCCTGCAGGCCAGACTTGGAGGGGGATCGTAACCCTGACAGGGGCGACGCTGGAAAGAAGGGTCCTGCCACCGAGAGGCTGAGAGTGTGTGGCCACCGCCAGAGCACTGTCCGACCCGCAGCATCCCTGTAGCACAGCCAGGACCTGAGAAGGGGCCTGGGACGTGTGAGGAACAGACTGAACTTCCCTTACATTCCAGAGATGATTGTTTGTGATGTCCCCATGTCACAGATTAGGGTAACATGTTTTCCTTTAACCTTTACTATTTTCCCCTTATTTTTTTAATTGATTGCTGTTTAATAAATTGTATTTGATTTGAACTGTAGGTAATTATCAATGGGTCAGGGAAGCGCCCAGTGTGGAGAGACCACCTTGGACTGTGGACACCCTAGTTCATGCCCTAAGTGACCACGACAAAGTTGGGGATCGAGCCCCCCAGGAATCCAGAGCCCAGCCTTGTTGGGGTTACGAGGATTCTGCCACACAGGAGTGTGGAAGGGGAGCCCTTGAGGTCAAGCAGGCCTCTGGGTAAAGGAAGTGGGAGTGAGAACTCAGATCCTTTTGCTATCCCACTTCACCGGGGTTGTGTAAAAGCCAGAAAAGTTTCTCACAATAGCGGGACCATTCCCCCGCTTACACATATGAGTGTGGGGCTCCAGAGGATGCCAGATACCACTAAGGGAAAAATTTCTGACATCTGTTCACATGGGTGCGCATACAACTAGCATGGAATTGACATGAGCAAGCACTCAAAGAAGAAACAGTGGGTTCAGCTGAGTTTTTGTTTGGGTTGATGGATTTGCCAACCCCACCTATGCTCATAGGATTCACCATTCTACCCTGGATCGCTGGCCCCTGCCTCCAGACAGGTCACGTGCTTCAGAGTATTGGCAAAACTAATGACACAGCAATGCTGGGGGGCGTGGGAGGGGGAGCTGAGCTCTGTTGTGATTAACTGATGCCTTTAAGTCTAAGAGACCATTATCCCATATGAGAAGCCACAAATATAACCATTATTGGGGGAAACAATTCTCTGGCCCCTGTAATTCTCCAGTGTATCAGAGCATGAGCCTCCAAGGCTGCAGTGCATGGGGCAAGTGAGTCCCAGCAGCTGCTGGGTCAGTGTCTTGCTTTGTTTCTTTGCTAGCCCTGTAGAGACTTAAGTGAGGATAGGAGGAGCCACTCACAGCCAGAGTGACCTCATCCCTTATTATTTATTCCTTTAGTTAAGAGTTAGTTACTGTTTATTACTGTAGTTATTAACACTAGAAGTAGAGCTCTGATTTATTATGATAATTAACCCTATTAGATATAACTGGTTGTATTCTATAATGTTTTCTCAACAATTTATTATTAATAGCTTTAATAACACTGGTCTACAATTTTTGAGAAGTCGTCTGCTTCAGAGATAAAATGTGCTATTTATTAGGTATTTTGATGTGCTGAATTCAAATATGACAATTAAAACAACTGATTGGCTACTGTTTCTAAAATATTTAAGTTTTTACATTTTATGTCTATGTATATTGTGTAGATAGTAGAGTTTTAATCATAAATTGTAATTTATGTAATTTTCATGTGTTTATGGTTGCTTTACATGATAATATTTTACCTGTCCTGTTTATGTAACACTTTAAAAATCAGCAAAAGGGTTATATAAATAAAATGTATTATAAAACAAAAGGCAAAAAACTATTATGTACATAGTTTAGTCCTATTCAGTGTCTACTTGGCGCTTCTTGGCTTGTCTCTTGTATTCATTAAATGGAGCATCTCTTGTCACTGTCCAGCAATAGTCTGCAAGCATTGATGGGCTCCATTTGCCCTGATAGCGTTTC